CTGATCGTCCAAAGTCTCGTCACGACATGGCCACCATTTCAGAGCCTCGTCCCATCATGGCCGCCATTTCAGAGTCTGCTCACATCAAGCCTGATTCCCCGGCCAAGATGGCCACCACGCCTGCTTCCCCGACCAAGATGGCCGCCACGCCTGAGTCCCCGGCCAAGATGGTCATCACGCCTGAGTCCCTGGCCAAGATGGCCGCCACGCCTGATTCCCCGGCCAAGATGGCCACCACGCCTGATGGTGCGGCCAAGTTAGGTCGGATACATTATATTTACGATTAATGAAATCCAAGTAAAAAAAATGCAGACCCTGTTGTATTTTCTTGTAATTTATTAAAAGAAGGTACACCGCCATCTTGTGCTGACTAAACTGACTTGAACGCACCTGACGTCGTAATTACGACTTGTCAACTCGTAAGTACGAATGTCCCAGGAGGACTTGAACACAGCATGAGTCCCCGGCCAAGATGGCCGCCACGCCTGAGCCTCGTCACGCCACGACTGCCAAGCAAGTTTCCCCTAAGGGATTTTTTTTGGGGGGGCTATAGTACCCAAGCTCCAGCGGATGCGGAGCTTGGGCCAGGACTGACGAGACTGATTGCTAATGTGATGGACCCACCACTGATGTCAGTGCGAGCAGCTGACATCCCAGTGGTTTCTATGCTCTCAAGCCCGGCAGGTATCCCACTGTCTGCTGCACTGCCCATGATGGCGGTCGCCATTTTTAGTGTGTGGGCTGCATACTGCGCTCCAGAGACCTCTTCTGTCCACGAGTCTGCTCCAGGGGCCTCTTCTGTCCATGAATCTGCCTCAGAGGCCTCTCCTGTCCATGAGTCTGCCCCAGAGGCCTCTCATTTCCACCAATCCACTCCAGTGCCTCCAGAGGTGGAGGCGTCCGCTCTAGAACCTACAGAGGTGGCGGCGTCTGCTTTGGAACTTTCTGCCTGTCCTGTCACGGCCAAGGAGGCCGTCCATGAACTCTCTGTCTGTCCTGTCACGGCCAAGGAGGCCGTTCATGAACTCACTGTCTGCCTTGTCACAGCCATGGAGGCCGCTCATGAATTCATAGTCTGCCCTGTCACGACCAAAGAGGTCATTTATGAACATTCTGCCTGTCATGTTGCAGCTATGGAAGCTGCTCAAGAACTCTCTGCCTGTTCTATCACGGTCAAGTGGTCTGTCCACGTCTCTGCTCTGCCATGGCTTCCTTCTCTGCCGGCACCACTCAGCCATCCTGCTCTGCCTGCTCCGCCATGGCTCCCTGCTCTACCTGCTTCACCATGGCTCCATGCTCCTATGGATCTGATCCATGGCCCAGGTCCTCCGTTGATCCACAGTCTGCCTCTATTCCATGGCCCAGGTCCTCCAGTGTTCCACAGTCTGCCACTGCTTGATGGCCCAGGTCCCCCTCTGCTCCATTGTCTGTCACTGCTCCACGGCCCAGGTCCTCCAGTGTTTCACTGTCTGCCACTGCTCCACGGCCCAGGTCCTCCAGTGTTTCACTGTCTGCCACTGCTCCACGGCCCAGGTCCTCCACTGCTTCACTGTCTGCCACTGCTCCACGGCCCAGGTCCTCCACTGCTTCACTGTCTGCCACTCTGCTCCACAGCCTAGGCCATGATTCTGAACCGGTTCTCCCTGCATGGGCCTGGCCCTCCATCCCTCCCCCTATTCCGCCTCTGCTCTACCACCCTCCTGGACTTTTTGGGTTTTGTTTCTGTTTTGGGGTGGGTTTTTCACTAGGGTTGTCAGGTGCCACCCTTAGAAGGGGGGGAGGGGATATGTAATGTCTGTTTTGGTTTTGTTTCATGTTCTTGTTTTCATGTCTTTATTTTGTAATTTGATTTATGATGTTAGTGTCATGCTTCTCTTGCCCTCATGTATTTCTGCCCTGTGTATGTGTCAAGTTCTGATTGGTTGTTATAGTCATGTGTCTTGTTCCTCATTGGTTATTGTCCTGTCATGTGGTTCTCAGTTCTGTTTGCTCATTGGTTGATTCTTGTAATGCGACCCTAAGTGTTTGGTATAAGTGGCCCTCATGCTGCCATTGTCTCTTGTTGAGTATTGTCCCTGTAACCTCTGTTGGTGAGTTCTTGGTTTTGTTTATGTCAAGTCTGCTCATGCTATGTCTGTTCATGCCACGTAAATTCAAGTCAAGTCAAGTCTTTGTTTATTGTTTGATCACTTTTTAATGTGTAAATAAACTGCACATGGGTTCTTCAACTTGCCGTTCAGTGGACTGCTCATTACAGCGATGATGTTTTTCTTCTTTTTTTGATTTTGTAATGTTGAAACGGTGTTGAGAATTGTTATTATACATATATATAGTATTGTATTATGCAAGGAGAATGAGATAAGAAAGAGAATTTTGGTGGAAATGTGTTTAACTGTCATATAATGTCACAATGCAAAAATATATCTTTATACAGAAATATATTTCTTAATACATATTTCTATTTGTATTTTTACTTTTTTATTTTGGGGTTGAAATATGGCAGTGTTATTTTAATATTATTTATATACAATTATAGTATTTATTAATATTTAATAGCTTTTATTTTTATATTTAGAATTTGTATTTTATGGCTGCCAAATCAATTAATCATGATTAATCACATCCAAAATAGAAGTTTGTATTTACATAATATATGTGTGTGTACTGTGTATATTTATATGTGACATTTGTTTTTTTTACAGAATATTTGCATATAGATTTAATTTATTTTTATTTCAATTTTAGTACATCAAATTCAACTTTTTACAGCTAGCTGCCAAGGCAGCATTTCTCATTTTTAGTTCTTCATCTAATGTTTTTATAATTTATTTCATTTGGGCTTTATGTCAGTTACAGAAAATGTTTTTAATAGCTTTATATTCAGTTTTAACAACACTAAAATAGTATCATGATTATGTTCTTAACAGGCTTAATACGATTTACAAATGTGGTTTTAGTATTTGTTTTTCTTGCCATTATACTTGACCAGTCCAGTTATGATCAAACTAGATGTTTAAATCCAATTACCTACCAACATATTTAGACAGCTGGTGACAGTTGAGCCACCAATGGACGATATTAAGTTTGCATTTCATCCATTTTAGATTAAATAACTGAACTGAAACAGAAATGCAGTTGCAGCTCAAGCCCATTTATTTGTGTGTGTGTGTAACAAGCTTGTATATGAGCCGATCCCTGGACGTAGTCCCTGCATAGCGTAGTGAGCGCGGCGTGGGCCTCACTCCACCCGTCTTTATGTAAAGTCTGAGTGGGAGGGAAGCCTGATCAGCTCTTCTGTTCCAGAGTTAGAACGGTACTGCAGAAACACAGTGATGACTTAGTCCAATGTGAACAAAACCACCCACTCTGACGATATAACGCCGAAAAACTCCTGTCGTACTCTCCTTCTGCACTTTGACCCTTTATATCTGAAGATGTAATCATAACAGCCTTCCTCCCCAAGCAGAAGCGTATTATGCAATAGCATCACGCAAGGTGCGATTTGAATTTGTGTGCACTGACGACGGCTTCCTGTGGTGGTTGACCACCGAATCGTTCACCAGTTCCCTTGATCTACCAATAGATGGTGACACACTCCTGTCCTAACCTGGACCAGTGAAGGGAGAACATGTTGCAGGGGAGGTATTAGAGAGAGAAGAACTGATAAAAGTGTGTGTTTGAACGTGAACGAGTCAGTCAGGCTGGCACAGCAGGAGGGGTGCGGTAAAGCTCTCGGCGTGAGGGGCAGGTAGCCACACGTCTAGGAGTCCTACACTGGTTTGACACTTCCTGGATTGCACACACATGCCTGGTGCAAGTGGAGAAAGTGAAACAAAAGAGAGAGAGAGTTTGCCTGGAGAGAAGCTTCTTGCCAAACAAACAGCTGAGTTGCAGTAGGTGAGCCGCGAAGGAGGAGGAAGTCGTCTGGCTGCAGCCCATGGACGAGAAAAACAGGAACGGTATCTGTCGAAGCTGTACCCACACTTCGAGATCTACTTCCTGGTGCTGTGCCGTTCTGCACGATTGCCTGACTAAGCCGTACTGAAGTAAACTGCGCGTGGAGAGCACTTCCACTTCTGAACCTCGGCTTCAAATGTTTCCCTTGCATCATTTCTTTTTTTGTCTGCTATGGAGACTTTGATGGACTGGCTTCCTGTGACCGTCGTGTCTGAAGTTGTGACAGGTGAAGTCAGGTTGCACATCTGAGATGGAGCAGTCGAACTGGCACCCTGAGGGAGAGGTGGAGGGGCTGTCCCGACCCCAGGAGGCTCTCCTGGACGGCGAAGACCCTGGAGGTCCAGATTCAGCCTCCTCATCTTGTTCGGACCTGTCCATCACAACCCCTGCAGCTCAACCTTGTCCCAACAACACCAAGAGCTTCTCTGGACTGCGGATCTTTGGTAGAAGGTGGGTGAGATGTTTGAGCTCTTGCATGGACTCTAAACTTCAGGGTTGTTGAAAAGGAAAGTACGTTTTTGAAACATCTTGTGTCTTTATTTCACTTTACTCCAAACATTCGTGACTGGAGCAGCATATCTGAAGTTTATTTATAGGCTATTTTTAATTGATTTTATTTTGTGGACTCTCAACTTTAATTTTTAAGTTGAAATGGCATTTTTGACCAACTCTAAAGGCCAAAAGTGTCTATTTTATTTTATTCATAGGCTATTGTATTACATTTTTTATTAATTATTTTTCTGTCTCTCTACTTCAATATTAAAACTAACATAATAGTATTTTTGACCAACTTAAAAGGCCAATAGAAATATTATACGTTTTCGAAACTTGTGGTGTCTCTTCTCTGTCATCAAGTCAAACATTTGTGACTGAAACCACACATCTGATGTCTATTTGCAATTTAAACTTGCGTTTTGCTTGGACCAGCCCTATGGTGAAAGGCACCACCTGATGTCCTGGGGTCACGAAATTCGTGACTCTCCATCTTTATAGGAAACGCTTTGTGAAGCACTTTCCCAAATCCTTCAATGTAACCGTTTCTGCTTAAAAACATTAACTCGTAACTCCCATGACATTACCTCGGCTTATTTTAAAAGACGTGCGCTTTCGAAATTTCATCAGGCGTCTAAATTAATCCTACGATCTCCTGTGGTTCCCTGGAAATAGATGCCTTTAATGGATTAGAGAAGCAATTAATTACGCACTATAATTGTCTGACCTGTTGAGAGAACAGCGTATACCTGTGCTCCACACTCCTGACCTCATGCACCTCGACTTGACTTAGATCTGTGTGATTTCACCTGGTTTTACCTTGTGTGTGTATCTGCGAAAGACAATGCATTAATAATATGAGGATGTGAAATAGCAGAGAAAACGGAAGTTTGTTTCTTTTTGTATCTTTTCATCTCATCTTCTCACAACTGATGACTGATAATTCTGATAGGTTTGCATTTTTGCATTGTCCAGAACTGTCCCCTTAAAAGGTAAAAATATATATTTTTTTTAATTCTAGAACACTGAAAAAGTTTCTTTTAGGTTTAGTGGGTTAGACAGTTCAACCTTAAAAACAGGTCTGTATTTACCTCCAAATGGCCATCTTTTATTGTTGATGGTTTGATTCTTTTCTTCTTTCAAAACCGTTGACCTAGATCAGATATAAAGACTTTTTTTTTGTGCCTCAGTGAATATTGAAATAATTGGAAGAACCTTTTTAACTATAAAGAAGCTTCTGTCCAATTGAAAGGTTCCATTGATGTTAAAAGTTCTTCATGGAACCATCAATGCCAATAAAGAATCTAGAATTGTTCAAACCTGGACTGACTGATTGGAATGTGTAATTTTGGGTTTAGTGGCAAAAGCTGGACTTTCAGCCTCAGATTTTGCAGACTCCCTGTGTCATTTATTGTTTAATATCGACATTTCCAGTCAAATAAGTTCTTCACAAACATTTTGACCTGCGAGCCCTACTAGAATTTTTAGGTAAGTCTAAATAAAGCTTTTTGCAGATCTTGCCTTTCTGCTTTCAACTATGAAAAACTTCCACAAACAAAACTTGATTAGAGGACTAAAGTATCTAATCAGATGCATCACATAGCTCCAGTCGGAAACAGATTGTGTATAAGTGTGAGTCTGGAATGTTTTTGCAGGTTTTACAGTTGGCTTTCATTGCACTATACAGACAATGGAAGTTCCCTTGCTCTATTTTCGAGCATGAAAAAAACAGTTTTTCCAAGTGAGAGTTTAAGAAGAATTCACCTATAGTATGGTTCTGTGAGGGGTTCAGTCCAGTCCCGGTGCCATGGGCGGGCATTGGGGGGCCTGGCCCGCCCTGTGAGTCACTAGTGCCCGCCCTGGACGAGCCTGCTGTCTCCCTTCACCTGTTCACCAGCTCCACGTCCCACCAACCACCAGTCCTTGTTGTTTGCACAATATATATTTTTTTATCAATAGGCTACTGTTATCAAAAGTTATCGTTTTGTATATATATAACTCCTGAATAAAAATAAAAATGTGTTTGGTCTGATTTAAAAAAAATTTTTTTTTAAACGTATTTGATTGGTTTGTCGATAGTGAGCGCGGAAATGTTTGGTTGTTTGCTAAGCATAGCGCTACCGCTTAACGTTAGTTGTAATAAAAAAAAAATGCTGAGCGATCTCGTGTGGCAGTGCTATGTATATACAGCGTTTCTTTAATCAAAAACCACCAAAGTTGGCAGGAGAGAGCAGCAGCGATGTAACGGTAGGCGAAAGCCCTGGGTGTCGCAGTTCGCAAGACGTTGATTCAACTCCCGACAGTGCAGAGGCCAGCCGTTCCAGTTGCCAAGGCCTCAAGCAAGGGTCGTCACAGGTGGCAGCACCAGGGGATCTCGGAGTTTAGAAACCTAACCAAGTAATCTTAAAAAACTTTCCTGCTCGTGTTTTCTCAGACAAAAAAAAGATCATTCAACAGCTCCTGGTATAGAAGCTGAGACTGGCTGCAATACTCTATTCATGCAGATGCTGCATTCTGCTACCCATGCCCTTGTCTAGACATTGTGAAAAATGAAATAAAACATATGATATGGTTATATACAACAGAAAATAGCACTTTGAGTAGACCTAGTTTTATATTATTTTTTATTATT